AATTTCGATTTCTTAATATTTTTTGGATCCACCTACCCACCCCAATTTTGTTTAAAAAAATTGAATTTTCATCCAGTACGTGTACATTATACATGCATTTGATATAAATTCATATACATGTAAAAATCTATAATGCAACACAGTATGACAAGATGATGGCTGGCATTGCAATAAATGATCGTGATCGATCACGAACGCAACAGCATGCCATGTCCAATCCACTCAAAAATGGATCTCCCAAGGTACGGCTACGCCTACAGTCAATTACCGCGTCTCCATGCACATGCATATGTATTTCTATTGAAACGGAGACGTAGACCTAGCTCTAGCCAACAGATTGGGATGCAGTTTGCTGCCGTCTGGTTAGTCTTAGATACAAGGTGATGAACATATCACCAATATTAGTAACTGGTTATATAGTAGGTTTATATAATACGCCTGGTACCCTGCTACATTTGTCTTTTATCACCGCTGCAAGCACCCACCTTCCAAGTCTTAGAGTAAAAAAACCACCTCATTCCATGATGTTTCACACATTCATAATAATGCACAGGAAGGGTCAATCTGTCTGTATATGGAAACAAAGTAGATTGCATTTTTGGAATGCTGGCGTGGCGTGCATGCTACGTGTATTTCAGGCAAGTCAGAAAAAAAATATTCTGGATTTTAATATAAAAAGTAAATTTCGATTTTCAATTTATTTCCTTGACCCATCCACCCACTATTTAAAAAAAAAAGTCAAAATTTTAAAAACACTGACAATTTTGAGTGGCCCCTCAGGAAGACCAGTGTCCATTGCTGGAAAAACACCTGGCAAACCATTCACCCTTGCTCAATTTGTAATTCACTCATTTGTTTTTTACTGCCTGGTCTTGTCACAGGAGGAGTACCATCACATCTTGGCTGAGAAGATCTACAAGATCCAGAAGGAGCTGCGGTAGAAGCCACAGAAGAGGAAGCAGGAGGTACTGATGCTGCCGCTGGAGGCATCCCCATTAATGCAGCAGCGCTGCTGCCCCAGCCTCAGCCTCCCCACTAACTGCCCAGACCAGTATGTCCACTGGGAAAATGTAGCTCTTTCAACCAATGTATATTAGAATTATGCTGTACATAACGAAATGTATATGGTCTTGAAGCGTTATTTTGATGTCAGTGTTGCTTTGGCTCAGCAATGAAAAGTGGACTGGTAGAATGGGGCGTCAGGTTGGCATAGTGATACTTTTGTCACCTTCCACTTCTGTGAATCCAGCCCAGGTTATCATGTGGATTTTTCAGTCTTTACTTAACTTTGTGGGTTTTTCTCTATAATGTTCATGTGGAGTTTTTCCTTCCACTTCTAAAACGGAACACTGTCCTCATATATTTGCAGTTGTAATTTGAAGTTGTAGATCGTCATATTTCTCAAGTGGTTACTGGCAGCCCTTTGAAAAACATGCTGGAGATTATATTGATACCATCAATAAAAAAAGCGGGAGTTTTTATAATTTTATTGTTGTTGAAATTACACAGGGGAAATGGTATTGTTTATGGTAGCAGGGCCAGGTTTCCTTCAGTTTAGTTCTAAATGTGGTCAAAATACAGACTGATCCTTTGTGGTTCACTCAACGAAGTCTGTACACAGGTTAACATAAATTTGGTGTGTGATTTCTACTTACAGTTTTATTTCAATTCCAAACATCAGTAACTTTTTAAGTTATCACTGAATAGTCAAGACCTTTTCTTTATTTGTAGTTTTCTGAAGGCTTTTATTTTACTTCATATTTGAACAGTGATGTCATCCATTGATCATCGTGCAATTTTAATGACTGCAGATGAATTGACTCAGAGTGTGTACAAAATGCAGATGTAAAACAAAAATTGTACGATGTAAACAACAAATAAAAGTGTAATGCAAACGTGAATTTTATGTTTTGAAACACATTTCATATCTCAGTATGTGGAATGAAGATGTCAATTGTACTCATAGTCAGTAAATGTAACTAACTCAAGCCTAAAATTGTATTTGTAATAGGAGCTTCACTCATTAGATGCTTCTGGAAAATGCCAGAAATCTTTTTTTCCGCACACAACTGTTCTTTCTTATTATCTTGATCAGGACTTGAACATAGCTTTTGCCACAAATAAATTACATTGCTAATTTGATAGACAAACTAACAGATATTTACATGTATGTACATAGGGTCTACTGCTTGACAAAGAGAAAACAAATGAAATGGTTTGTTTTGTTTTTCAAGCACACACAAAGTCTGAGTCTGTGGAGGTACACTGTGTGTTGAATTTGAACTTGGCAGCCGTGCATATATGTCCCTGTTGTAGTATGTACCACTCCATGGGCATGTCCCACATTGTTGAAAAGTATGAGGTTGTGGTAAGAAATGTGTGACAAATACTCTTCAAATGACTGGTGTAAATCACTATGGTAATTGGCTGTGTTGGTGGCCATATCTTACCTTTTTCAAGAGCCGAAACTTTTGGCCAAAAATTATACTCAACTGCAAGTGGACAAGAGGAAAGGGGTGGAAGATTTGAGAAGTAAATTGCTATTCATGTTTCTTCATTTCTACTTGTTTGATTTTTTTAAATAAACAGACGATTCACTATCCGATTTGCCAAACTTGGTCTTGAAAGTCAGCGATTTGAGTCTTAAGATGGCAACACCTTGCGATTGAAGAATATAATAGAAAGCTTAAGGCTTTAGTACTGAACAGGTCCAGTCTCCCTCAGGAAACTTCTAAGTGCCTTTAGTCTATGCATTTGTTATTCCAAAATGGTCCACCAATCAAAAATGGGCTTGTTTATGTGTCAGGCTTATGTGAAATAAATACAAGCCTTTTGCCTTTTAGACATTTTGGAGAAATATGGGTTAGAGAGTACAGATTTGATCTTGTATGGCCTGTTCCACTTCACCACAGGTCAATACATTTGAGACAAATCTAGGCAATCTCTGTGTACAAACGTTTCAAAATGATTTTGAATTCTAGATGAGTACTCCATGTACTTTTTGTAATTCCTGTAATCAGTGTAAAAGTCGGAGGATTTTATTGAATAAAATAAAATGTGTGGCCTGAGACATTAATAAGTCCATGATTTGAACTGCACTTTATTTCTCCTTTTTTGCAACTTTTTCTTCCTCTTAAGTCACTTGTATATATAAGAAACCTGGAAGTTATGCCTTATGGATACTCTCATTGAAAAGTGCTCCAGAAATTTAAGAAGCTATTAAAGGAAAAATGATTTAATGAGGACACCCCAACGAATATGAAGATTTTTAAAAGGTATAGCTCAATTTGTTTTCCTGAATGAAAGAATAAGATAAAGAAATAAATCTGTGGTTTACATCGAATTATATTGTGGAAATATTTCATTTTCTGAAACGGGATGGGGGAGGGCACTGCATTCATCAGCATTAAACTAAAAAAAAAATGGTAGAAGGGTGTTAACACTGAGGTATTTTCAAGCAGTTTAATTTGATTTACTCACTTTTCCCCAATATAAAAACTGTGATATAGAAACAAAATGAGATAGAGGGCTCTCTGATTTGGAAAAATGTTCAAAGAAACCCCGGTCAGAGGCAAAAGCAGGGATAACGCAAAACAGTTTCAAAACAGCGGTCCCAAATCCCATTTGCGATTTTCACCCACTTTTTCTTTCTTTCCCCAGGAGCAGATGGGGAACCCCCCTCCCTCTTGTAACATGTGCACATGCACGAACTTGAGAGCGCGCCTCTTGTACTACCTGACCTCCAAGTCACTGCTCTGTGTACATGTACATCGTGTGTAGTGACTTAGACCATAGACCTGGAGGAGAAAATAGCTTGGACCGCACGTTTTTGAAGCTCAAGTAGTCTAGTTGGCGCAACTAGACTGGCCTATTCCGATTGAGGGCGCTGTGCATAGTTATGTACCGCCATGATTATGCGGCGTTCGAAGTTTTACTTTTCGCGTTTTGTAAAAACTTCACGATTTTCACCACAAAAAGACGTCATTGGTTAAGTGTTGGACAGCCTGTGGTACCATTTTTCCATAAAACAACTCAAAAGATGGTCAATTGATGCAGGTAAGTTAAAAACCACTTTTTGTTTTCAGGACTTGCTAACGTTTTGACATAGCATGCATGGTGCACTTTGCCTAGTCGCTAGTCGGTGCTGAGGCCCACCATGCATGCCTACTGTTTACTGCGCACCGGAATAAGGCACATAAACCATTGAGCAAACAATGTGTGGTGTCAGTCATTTGGTTTCGAGTTAACTCGGACCCATGCCGACTCGGAGCCATGCCAGACCCACAACCAACTCGGACCCATGCCAACTCGGCCCCAATAGTATTGGCAATACTAACCCGGACACACAACCAACTCAGACCCACAACCAACTCGGACCCAATACTAACTCTGACCCACGACCAACTCGGACCCACCCTGAGTCAACTCGGACCCCAGGAGCGTGATTAACTTGTTGAAAATTTTTATTTTGTTCACTTTTACATATTAGCATTTGGTTAATGGCACTTTTACACTGCATGCTGCCAAGATGTAACGTCCTCTCTACACGTTAAGCAGTGAAAAAGTGGCACAGGCTTCCCAGATTTTCTCTGTTTTTGAGTTTGAACAGGCATGGTGGTTAAAAACCGTACAGGACTAGATTTGATATCAGTGATGTCTTGGAACAAGTGATAAGTAACCGATGAGCATCGTATTTTTATGGAGGCACATTTCCTTTGATGTCTAGTTTGCTGCTTGTAATCTGGAATCTTAATCAGGTATTACGGAAAGAATTCCATATACGAAGTTCACTTTTTAGGAGAAATTTTTGCTCCAGGACAGATTTAAAAAGAGGCAACATTTATTTTTGGGAGATACAGATGTGAAAGGGGGTTCAGTAACTTAGGGGGACAGGTTTAAAAAGAAGGGGCCCCACGCAATAAAACGGCAAAAAAGTGAGTCCTTTTGCCGTTCTTTTTTTCCCCTACTATATCCTCTACCGTTTCCTTTTTCCTTCACTATCCCGTCCTTTTATTTCTCCACAGTTTTCCTGTCATTGGTACAAGGATTATTACAGTTAGTGTACACATTTAATACATTTAATCCAAATTGTGTTGTAAAGGGGAATTGAACCTGCAATGAAGAGAACTGTAAGGTATAGAAATACAGCAGTCTGGCCATGCCACACGAGGGCTTGTTGCCGGAGGAAGTCGATATGTTCCATATAAAGTTACGGCTGAATTAAGGAGAGGTCAGGATGAGGTCAAGATGAATATTTAAAAAAAAATAAATATTGATGAAACTGAATATGTAATTATTCACAAATATTTGTACAAATTAGAATATTTAAATATAAATAAATGTGGCTATCCGTTGTTAATATAAGTAGGCTGTGCCAAAGGAAATCAACTAGGTGAGGTACATGTCTGAGCACAATTGACTGTATGACGTGAGCCGAATACATGTGGCGCTGCCGACATGCA